CCCCACTCCCCACGGTAGGGCAAAGGTAGGTTTATAGTTGTGAGTACACGGAACAGTTTATTATTGATTAATTACTGTATTATTTTCCATACGGACAACTGTGAATCTACTTTTGCCCCACCCCATGTATTTGTAAATATACGCGTATGTACATATATATTCATGTAAAATGTGGGATAAAAACTAATTTGTGCCTTCTCTCAATGACATTAAACAAGTCCCATGAAGAAAGATTCCTTAATCTGAATCTTTCCAATCAGCCTTTTATACGTGAACAACATTTTTGATGCCTTAAGAAGGGGTTTTGCACAATTCAAGTGGTTTCCCAGGGCTCGTGCTTCTCCGATGGTGATCCAAAAGGAGAAACCCCCCAGAATGCTCAGGTTTGCCCATGTGTTCCTTCCTGAGGTTATTCCAAGCTGGGAACAGCCCTGCAAGGCTGGCTGGAGTTTCCACGGACCACGCGGCCGTCTTGCCCCATCTGTTCGTGTTTTACTTGGTGTGCATTTTAATTTGTATCTCAACTCTTTACTGCCTTCCTCGGCCCTCCTTTATCTCTGCAATATTTCCTGTGCTTAGAGCATAAGAAACAGACCTGGGGCCCCTGCTTTCACTGCCCGAGCCCTGCACCCAGGCCTCCGATGTTTTTCTTCTATCCAGACAAATATTGTAAGTGCTGCCTTTCTTGTCTCCTCAAACTGAAGTGGTGAGGTGAGCACTAGGACGTGGCCGTGGTTTCCCCGCACTCCCAGCACCAGCCAAGGTCTGAACTATTCTTACTTTTCTAGACACCAGCCACTGTGATTCTACACGTAAAATTTCAAAAGATAACTACGAAACATATATTTTTTACCTCCCCATCATCCCCAAACTCTCTGCTCCAGGTTGTAAATGAAGCGCAGACGTCTGGGGCATCTCCATTCTAGGACACACTTCCGTTTAATCACACCTCTATGACGTCACGGCAACTTGGCAGCCTTTTTTTTGACAATCATAAAGTGCTCACATGGTTCCATGCCCCAGTGGCCTTTTAATAAATATTTTTAATATAAAAATATCAAGTTAAATGAACAGTTCACCTAAGATGAAAAAAAAACCCTGACATCAGATCATTGCTCTACCTACAGCTACAAAGAAGCGAACCCACACGTTGGGTCTGGCTGAGCGATCACCCTGAATTCCTTTGTGATGTGCATACTGCGTTTCTTTCAAGGAAGCGCGGACCCCCCCC